CCCCAAAACCCCAAAACCCCAAAACCCCAAAACCCCAAAACCCCTAGTTACAGATAGCCAATTGAGACGCTATATAATATTGAATATGGCTCATGAATCATCTTTGTTAATAATCTGAATCTTCTCCACTTGATTCATCTGCATCATCGTCTTCTTCTTCATCATTGTCACCACTATCATCATTTTCTTCATATCCTTCAGGAGCTTCAACCTCTTCAGTATCAATATTATAGGTATAACTGAAACTGGTAGCATCAGGATCGCATGCTAAGGAGCAGATATACATAGACTCTCCTGGGGGAACTACTCTCGTGGCTACACCACTAGTTGGGAGGAATAATCAACTATCAGATTCTGTCAAGTCTAAAGTCACCTTTTGAAATTCATCAGAAGTATTCTCGATCATGTAAGATCAGCTGTATGCTTGAGGATGGATATAGACTAATGAGCTGTAGTCATCATCTTCGTATCCTTGGTCTCCAAGACCTTCTTCTTCTTTGAGATGGTTCAGCAAATGCTCCCAAGCAGTTTTATGGAACTTACTGTCCAAAATATCATGAATGTCTATAGTAATAGGATTTTCATCAGCTTGGAAAGAGAGCATGAACACTCTCGATTTAATAGAGTTAAGGGCTTCATCGTATCCTAGCTTATGTAAGATGCCAGTAATTTCATGATCATTAAAATTTCTGAAAAGAAGTTGCTTAAAACCAAGTAAAGAAACGCCTTCATGGTTGCAGCTAACATTTTCAAAAGTCTGAGTTGCAAAATCTTCCTGTTTAATGTCCATGAACAAAGGCTCTTGGATGATTCTTCCAAATTGATTCAATTCGTCAGCAGATAACAATCCATTAACAGCTAAGTCAAGCTTTCTGAAAATATCATTGAGAGTAGAAGAGAAATATGGATGAGGAATTGCAGTATCCTCAAATTCAATTTTTGGTGGAATTGGTGCACTTGAAGCATTCAAGGTTTTCTGCATCAACGCTCCTGAAGTCAGTGGAACAACAGCATATTTTCCTTCCTCGAAACTAAACTTTTTAAAGAATTCTCTTTCTCTTGAGAATTCACAATAGTCGTAAAAGGAAGCATCTTCATCATCTTCATATTTTAAAACTACGAATCCTCAATCCATATTTCTTCTTAGATGTGCTCCAACTATTCTTTCATCTTCTTGATGCAACCCAATGTGCATAGTAGTTTCATCTTCTTCAATATCAAATGTGTAATAGAATTTGCTTGTCACAAACTCATGAGATCCATCCTTTGCTTTTGCTTTAAGGAATTTTCCTTTAAATCTTAACTCTTCATAGTTTTCAATTTTGCAGAAATTAATAGCTTCAAATTTCATCATGAAATCTTCTAAGCACATCCAGAATGAACCATCGTTAGCATCAAGAACAGGTTCAAATTCTTCTATCATTTCTTCTGTCCATTCTTCAGAGTTATCTCCCCATGCACCATTCCATTCAAATTGTCCCCAAGGATTTCTGATGTTAAGGAGTTTAACACCCAATCCTTCTTTGACTTGGATGATACTGTAAGCGTGTCCTGAGACAAGACCTGCCCCAGCTCCAGGACCATCACCTTCTGTGATTGTATCAACTCCAGATGTTTCTGTAGAAATGAGGTATCCTTCTTCGTCAGCTTCGAGTAATTTTTCATAGATCTCTTCAGCTTCCTCTTCAATATCTTCGTAGTCTTCTTTATCTCTTGGAAACGAAATATGTTCAGTGGGTCATCCACTAAGATCCACCATGGCATGTTTTGTGAACCCAGCACTTAAAGCTTGATAGCTCCCATGAAGTTTAGCATAAGCCTTTTCAACAAGCATCACCCAGAGTTCGTTTCCTGCTCCTCTACTAAACATTGGGCCTCCTTTATATCTGCAAGGGATGTAGTCGTCAACAGTGACAATGACCCATTCTCCGTTTTTGCACATTCTGATTTGATAAATCCCCTCTTTATTGTATTTTTGAGTGACGAAAAGTCTTCTGACCATAGCCGGTCTTTCAGCTAGAGAGGAAAGTGCAGATAAGAACCAGCAGTCTCCAAGAGATCCCTGTCTGATGTCGTTTGGATCGATGTCGTCTTCGAACACGACAGGGTTGTCCATGAACTCATGGGGCCTTCTCCAGTGGATCACGAAGTTAAATGGATACTGATCTTCCACAACATTGTACAAACTAGTGTCTCTGGGAGGGAAATGAGGGTCAATAAAATTATTTTGTCCAAGCTTTACCATTTCGTCTGCTATTTGCTGTTGTGTGAGTACTTCGTAAGGGATTTTCTTGAAGATTTTTTCAGAGGCTTCAACTTTTTCATTCCATTCAACTTTGAATTGGTCTAAAGCCTTCTTTTGTTCTTCGAGTGAGAGTGGAGTTTCAGACAAGCTAAATCTTGCAGAGAAAGACCAAGGGAGAGTCTTAGTAATATGGATCTCATCATTTTGCTGCTGAGAAGGCACCACTACTGTCTGGGTTGTTTCTCCAGGAGCGTTGTCAAGTGTGCAGTTGCTACTATTCCCAATATCAAGAGTGAATTCGGCAATAGATAAGGCTTGGTTGTCAATTGCCCAGGTTTCGCTGCTATCATCAAATGTTCTATTGATGCAAAGTCCAGATGGATACTTAATTGTCTTTGTAGTAGACATTTTAAATTATATTTATCAGAAAGAAAAAATTTATTTAAGTATGGGCTCAATCTGTTTTAATTTATTTGGGGTTTTGGGGTTTTGGGGTTTTGGGGTTTTGGGGTTTTGGGGTTTTGGGGTTTTGGGG